AGCGCTAGATTGTTGTATATTTTTATTGAAGTAGTTGAAAGATTAAATATACGTATTAGAAAAGTACGTATATTAGATTATATAGTAGAACTAGAATCATTTGGGTTTAGCCGTCTTAAGAGACATGAACCAGAAGTGACACTAGCGGTATCCTGCCAAATCTTTACCACCAATAGCAACATACCTTGGTAACTCGCTATAACATGGCGTCAGATTTGGCGGGAACTTGCCACTGTCACTTTTGGTTATTCTGTGGTACCACTAAATAAGAACTAACAATTACTTCCCCTAAAACTCCAGTTTTATTTGTTATGATTTCTTAAAATTTGACGACCTATAAAATGACATGAGTTGATTTTTGCAGCAGCGGTCTTCTGCTAACTCTTTTTGAGTTGTTGACGTTGGTTCTGGCACGAGTGAAAAAATCTCATCAGTGAAGAGAACTTCTGATAAATGAGCACCCACAATCAGGCGAATCATTCAGCAAGAATTTTCCAATCATTTCAGCTTCATTATATCGTTGAGGAAGTGGAGACAACCGATCTTGTAGCTTCGAAGGTTTAACTTTCTTCTAACGATGTTCCAAGTGCTACGAATACTGACACCAAGCTCCCTTGCCATTTTCTTGAACGTTTATAAAGTCAATGCTCAAGCACTCTAGCTAAGCAATATAATTATTGCATAAAATTAAAAATAATAAGAAAATCTTGACAAAACTGACCTCCAGGTTCATTCAGGTTTAGCCGTCTTTAGAGACGTGTGGCTAAACCCAAATGATTCTAGTTTTAATTGTTATTAAGCGCTAGATTGTTGTATTAGAAAAGTATGTATATTAGATTATATAGTAGAATTAGAATCATTTGGGTTTAACCGTCTTAAGAGACATGAACCAGAAGTGACACTAGCGGTATCCCGCCAAATCTTTACCACCAATAGCAACATACCTTGGTAACTCGCTATAACATGGCGTCAGATTTGGCGGGAACTTGCCACTGTCACTTCTGGTTATTCTGTGGTACCACTAAATAAGAACTAACAATTACTTCCCCTAAAACTTCAGTTTTATTTGTTATGATTTCTTAAAATTTGACGACCTATAAAATGACATCTTGTAAACCCAAAAGTGTTACATTTATGCATAAACTGACTACATTTTCGTTGTAACATTTGGCATGACAATGTACAGTACATTGTCCGTCTTCAAAACATTTTTCCATATGCAGTGACTTGTAACTTGATAACACTTTTCAACATTATTAGTAACAGCATACAATAAAATGTTTCGTACATAACAAGTCATTTTCAGAATAAATGTATCAAATAACAATAAAAATATAAGACAAGTAATCAAAACTTGCGATACATCATCACCTTTTCAAAGATTATACATAAAACGAAGATATGAATACTGCACAACCTGAACCCTTCTTAAACTCCCGCGGAATAACCATTAACCAATACATCACTATAATTAAATTGAGATAATACAAGAAATTCACAAAGAAGTCGTTTCAAACTGAGATAAAAACATCCTACTGTAGTACACTTCTTAGGGAACGAAAAGCGCGCCTACAGAATAAATTAAGTAAAATTAGCAAGCTGATCATAAACGACAAGACTCAAAATCTTAACCAAATTCGTTAATATTAACTTATTTAACTTTACTTCAAGCATCTTAATATCATCTTTATTAACAAATAAACTACCCTTTTTAGTAAATAAAATAGGGTTGACCAAAAGAGCACGTCTCTTTTGTCTCCACACATAAGTGACTTAAATCCTCTATCATCAAGCTTCCAATCACTAATCAGGCAGGAATTTGAAATAATTGCGAATCATTAGCATAAAGGTGACAGAACAATACTTTAACTTTCAGAATAAATTGCTGGTATAAATTATTGTTCAGTACTTTTAACAAATTCTATAAGGTTTATAATAACAATACAAAATAATCAAATTATTTTTTAAGTTGCATTTATTGACTGGTCAGGCTGATAATAAATACAGCAAGATCATCAACATGTCAAAATGTTTAAACATTTTAATCAAAGAGACCGAATCCCATATCATCATCTTCAGATTCGGATTCCTCTTTCTTTTCTTCCTTGGCCGGAGCAGCAGCAGCGGCCGCTGGAGCTGCTGCAGAAGCAGCTGGAGCGGCGGCGGCAGCAAACTTACTTGGATCCTTAAAAAAATAATATTTTGAAACTATTTCCCACAAAACTAATTTATAAATTAAAAAATAAAATAGTTCAGAAGCGTAGCAATTTCATTAATGTTGCATATTGGGGGGTTCCGCTATTTCTAGCACCCAATATGTGATCAACACAATCAAAATGGTTCACTCATCACATTAAAAAAATATTTTAAAAAGTATAAAAATAAATATAAATTACCTTGATGTATTCTTTAATTGTTGTAGCTTCTTTAAATTCAACATCTGTAACTGCAGCAAGAGCCAAAAGATTTTTGAATCCATTGGCAATGCTATGTGGAGCAGATGCAACAGTTGGATATCCAATGCTCAAACAGACTGAAGCCAAATTAGCAACGCCGACCATAAATCTTTCCCTAAGATCCTCTGGTTTTATATCCAAAATTTCCGGGGCAAAAATAGTTCCTGAATCGTAAACTTGTTCAACAATTAAACCATAAGAAAACGGAGAAATATTCAACATATTTAAAAGAGTGGCTTCAGAAGCACCAACTTTATCGCCGGGCTTCAAAATATGCACATCATTGATAATTTCAATTGTACCCTTGGAAATCTTGGTTGGGATGGAAAGAGCTTGGAAGAAAGATGTTTTTTCTGGACCCAACCCGGTGTTTTGGGCGGGAATGATGACAGAAAGTGGGGCGATGGCGCCGGGACGAGCTGGGGCACGGACTTTGTTTTCTAACAATCTATCGCGAACCTCAACGAGATCGCCGCGGGTAAATACAAAACCCACATTGCCCTTGATGTGCGGCAAGACCTTTTCTAAAGCTGGATTTCTTTCCAAATGCCCTTTAATAGCCTTGCGCATCATGGTGTTTTTGCCCATAAGTACGACAGCGCTACCCCTGAGGGACATGCGAATCTGCTGCATTTGCTTCGAGCCGACATTGTCAGCGCCCACAATAAAACACTTTGGATAATCTTCCAAAAGTTGCTATTAAAAAGAAAAAAATTAATTAATTTTTCTTATTTTGATGATGAAATAAAATGTGGAAGAATCTTGTAATTATCAGATTTATATTCCACATTGTCCTTCCAAGTTGGGGGGTTCAGCTATTTCTAGCACCCAACTTTTAGAAGTACTTAAGAGACGAAAAATTAATCATCACTATTAGAAATCTCAAAAATATAGATAAGAATGGTAGTAGACATTTCAAATTTTTTTGGCGATTTATTTCACTTAGAAGAGTAAAAGCAAAAGTTGTTGGTACAGTAAAAGACATTTTAATTACAGTTGACAGCAAAAACCATATTCGAACAGTACAAACTTTAATAATTAAAAAATTAAGAAAATTATACATTTGGAATAACACTAATACTTTCTTGGAGGCAGGTTTGCTTAACAATAGCACTTAGACACTTCAGCATCGATTTTAGTCCATTCTGCCTTTAATGCTATTTTTAAGTCTATTAAGTTATTGTAATATTTTAATTTCTTCTTGCATATTGACAATAGGATTAAGATCTGAGTTTTATGATGGTGTTTTGAGGTGATCTGGAAAGTTGTACACAATCCAAAGTCTAAAATCTAGCATGGTATGTTTCGAATCACTACTCTGTTAAATGATAAAATCCCGAAACATCCCAATTTTTCTGCACATTGCTCAATTATATTTCAAAATGTTTTTACACCCCTTTGCAGTCAATAATCCATCTAAAAAATGAAGATTTCAGACTCCTGCAGCTGAAAAACATCCCCATATCAATTCCAAACTTCCACCACACTTGAATGTAGGTGTCTGATTATGTGGACATATTTTTTTCTGGTCAAATTCTTACTCGTCCAGTCGATATTTTTATATTGAGTTTGGTCTCATCTGTGAAAATTACCATTTTCTAGAAGTTGAATTGTAAGTAAGGTACTTTTTTACTAAGTGTTTGTCTAGCAAATTTAAAACACATAGAACTGGAGAAAAGAAATAATGAGAAGAAAATTACTCAGGCTTATTTTGCTGAATGTTCCACATCCAAATCAAAAGATGTTCAACTTATAGCGATCTAATTTCCGCTGATATACCTCTATAGAAAATGGGCAACAAAAAATTGGTATTGTTCCTAGAATCATACACAGAGTACAAAGTACCATCGGAAAATACATTTCGCACAAAATATATTAAGAAACTTTACAAAATTACCATAGACCACATACAGAAGTGCATGAACGGTCGCTCTTTAATAATAATAATAATAATAAGTTTATTGCCACATAGTTAATACAAGAGAAAAATAATATATATGTATACATAAATGAATAAGTAATGCATGTTGACAAAAGGTCAGTTTATCGCCAAAGGCGATGTCTTCCAAAAGACCCAACCAGCAACGTAAGTTAAAAAAAAATCAATATGGCTATATAAATAATTCAACATTTAAGCAAAAAGAAGAAAAAGAGCAAAGAGGAAAAACAACACAACGAGTACAGTTGATAAAGAGGAAGAGAAAGAAAAAGAGGAGAGAAGCAGGCGACATTAATAGTTAGATTCCGATAATTGTAATGATAATAGATAATCCCTTAAGCAGACCTTAAATGTCAAAAAACTACGAGTGTTGCATATTTCCATGGGTAAACTATTCCAAAGCTTTATAGCCTGCACCGTGAAAGATCCATGATATCTCTCATGGACTGAGTCTCATCAGACTGTGCTCTAGTAGGCAGACCGCGAGACGACATGAATTGAAAGTTCGTGTACAAGTATCCTGGGGTCCGAGAAGAAAGTATCTTATACAGCGTTGTCAGTATACGGAATGATCTGCGCTTTTAGACAGTCAACATTTGAAGGTGATTACGATATTGCGTAACATGGTCGTACTTACCCAGGTCAAAAATAAAGCTTTTTGTAGATTTTAATCGACGAAACAACAGATGCGACAGGAAGATATGTGGCAAATGTCACTATTGGTATTTTGATTCATGATGAGTTGCTCACTAAACAACAATTTTTATTTCGTGCTTGATACAGCGAATCTTTTCGATAATTCTATTAAGATTTTGGGTTCGACTTTCAACAGAGACATGATTTTACTCTTTGTATCAGATGCTGCTCTTAACTTGCACTTAACTTGTCTTACACACGGACTTCATCGAGTTTGTGAGCAAATTCGAGGTGTGTACACTAACGTTGACCGGCTTATCGTCAATGTGAAAAAAGTATATTTAAAAGCGCCGTCAAGNGACAGTCAACATTTGAAGGTGATTACGATATTGCGTAACATGGTCGTACTTACCCAGGTCAAAAATAAAGCTTTTTGTAGATTTTAATCGACGAAACAACAGATGCGACAGGAAGATATGTGGCAAATGTCACTATTGGTATTTTGATTCATGATGAGTTGCTCACTAAACAACAATTTTTATTTCGTGCTTGATACAGCGAATCTTTTCGATAATTCTATTAAGATTTTGGGTTCGACTTTCAACAGAGACATGATTTTACTCTTTGTATCAGATGCTGCTCTTAACTTGCACTTAACTTGTCTTACACACGGACTTCATCGAGTTTGTGAGCAAATTCGAGGTGTGTACACTAACGTTGACCGGCTTATCGTCAATGTGAAAAAAGTATATTTAAAAGCGCCGTCAAGAGTAGCAATTTTTAACGAAATAGTGCCTTGTCTTCCTCCATAACCGGTAACAACTCGCTGCGGAACATGGATTGAAGCGACAAGTTACTATGCCACTAAGTTCGAAATAATTGGGAATGTGTTTGATGCATTAGATGAAGACGACGCTGCGTTAATCAAAATTTCAAAGGACCTACTAAATGACAATACAATAAAATCAGACTTAATTTTCATTGCATCAAATGATGGCTTCCTTAGTGAATCAATAAAAACATTGGAAACGGCAGGGCTTCCGCTTTCTACATAGGTTGAAGTAGTGATACAAGCTCTGAACTTAGTTAATTAATGGCTTAATTAATGAACTTAATTAATGGCTTAACTAATGGCTTAATTAATTAACTTAATTAATGGCATAAAACATACCTAAAATTTTAAAAACGTTGCCCCTAAGCGATAGCACAATAAAGCGACAAATTGCTGAAATGGCAGTTAATGTAGAAAACAAAGTTATAACTATTCTCCAAAACTCTTCATTTTCCATGCAGTTGGACGAATCTGCCATTGTGAATAACGATGCTTTATTGATGGCGTATGTACGCTATTTTGATGAGAACATGCTATTCGCAATAAATCTCATCATAGATACAAAAGGATTATCTATATTTAATACTATAAGTACATACTTTACAAAAAATAATATTCCTTTGAATAATATTGTTGCATGTGCTACTGATGGAGCACCATTTGAAGCAGAAAGTGCCAAATGTTTTATGTATTCATTGTGTAGTGCACAGACATCTTGTAGGAAAACATTTAACTACGAGTCTTCATTCATCATTAACTTTAATAATTAGAGCCGTGAACAAAATCAAATCCAATGCAAAGAACGATAGAATGTTTCGGCAGCTTTGTGAGGATAATAATGAAGATTTCATCAAGTTACTTTTGCACACAGAAGTTCGATGGCTGTCAAAGGGTACATGTTTGGCTAGATTTGTAGCATTATATGAGTGTCATACAATTTTTGGAAAGTAATGATGAGACCAATCTGTGTCAACAATTAAAAGCAGTAAAGAATGATGCCTTCTACTTGGCAGATATTTTCAAGAGAGTTAACGATATCAATTTGCAGCTTCAAGGAGCTAATAGCTTTGTTCCACAACAAGCGGTACTCGTCAAATGCAATCGCACATGTCAAGTAATGTCACATTTCAGCGGATTTCATTGCATTATTTAACTGTGCAATTGCATTTGACGAGTCCACGACAAGTCAAACCGCTGGTTGGAACAAAACTAATAAAACTCTTATAGAATGCCAAAGTATTGTGCCATTATTTATTGACAAGCTTCAAGTACTTAATCATAATCTATTGAAGAGAGAATTTCATCAGTTTCCCCATTTATCATGTATAAAAGATGATGTAACTCCAGAGGATTTCAGAGTTTTTCAATGTATAAGAATAAGATTTGAAACAGAAGATTGTGTTTCTGTTTTATTTTCTATTTCTCTTTTAGTTTTTATATCATTTTTCATTTACTTTGTTTAACCTCACCTACAGATTTAAAAGATATCCCTATTTTAATATTTAATTTTTTATAGAGCATATTTTCATACTTAAGCAGCATATTTTGACTCTTATGGAACATTTTTTAAGCGCTCAAACTACCATTTTGGAGCATATTTTTGGCTGCCCTACTTATGAATGATTTTCTAACAGTATTAAAACTTTTAAAACCAAGTTTTTAATATAATTTTGTGCTGTTGAAGGTTAACATAAACACCAAAGACCTATTCAAGACTGTTGTAGCCAGTGCCACACCACTTATGGTAGGATCCTTAGGGATTTGATGACATAGGGATGAATGCTTTCTTCTTATTAGCATCAATCAATTTACATTTCATAATGCTTTGTTAACTTCACCTATCTTTTTATAATTTTACACCACATATTGGGTAATAAAGGAGCTGCATTTCATTATTTTTAAGATTTCAAGCCAAGATTTTCGTTTTATATGAAATTTTATTATCAGTTTACTTCAAAAGTTCAATTGACTTCCTACCCACTTTGAATTTTCCGCAATTTTTAATAATAATTCAACTGACTGAAGTTTTTTGAAAAAAACAATGCTCAACAATCAGAATGGGGACAAAACACAACTAAAAATCTTGTATAACAAAAATACAATCTTGCAACCTATTCGAATATAGTTTTTGCTGATAATTGTTAATAAAATGCTCTTTCGCCTACAGTTTTCGAACTGTATAGATAATCAAGACTTTTGCTTTTACTCTAGTTTTCGGTAGGTGTGTGAATACAGATTTTGCATACTATATGAATAAAACTTACGATTAGTTTTAAGAAATAATTGGATTTCCAGGTTGCTTTGTCCTCCCTACCCATCTTCGTAGTTAGGGACTCGTAGTTTCGAATTTAAGAACTGCGAAAGAGAATAAAAAATTAAGATGTATGACATAACCTCAATCTTAAGTACACTACATAACCTCAAAAAATAAAAAAATAATTCGATTTTAAAGGAAAATACAACAAATAATATAATTTATATAGAGCATATTTGCAATTATTGTTAATAAAAATGAATTATTTAAATGGATGTTTGTTTAATTTCCAGATAAAAGTTAAGAAAGCAACTTACCAAAGCGAGAATCACGAGCGCAATGAACGAGTGTTTCCGTTAAACGTCACCGGGAAAATTTTGTTTGGTGGTAACACTGATTGATAGCGGGAAATTTAAATATAAAAATAATCTTATTATAATACTTGGAACTAACACATTTATGAAGAAAAATACAAAATAAAACAAATATATCAACAATTAAATAAGTTATTTAAACTTAATAAATAAATGCGTTTACAATTAAATTTGTAATGTTTTTATAATCTAACCCAACTTTACCTGTTGACGTTTGAGGTGTGTATACAATAATATGTTTATAACGTTTAAAATGAAAACTTTTATTGAAACAAGATAAAAGATATAAAAATATATGGATAACTATCCATAAAAACTAACGTAAAAGGAAATGTTAAAATTCAGGTTGGGTTTATTCTTAACAGTTTTTTGCACAGCTGTTATCGCTTTTGTACTACAATATCAAATTTTAAAACTACAAGACGAGTTAGTTAAATTCGGTGAGTCCCTTCTCGAGAAAGTATAGCTTATTTACTTTTAAATTATTTGTTTATAGAGAATTTAAAGAAAATAGAGGAAAACATAATAAATGAAGATGTTGAGGATGTTGATGATGTGGTCGTTATTTATAACAGAGTTCCCAAAACGGGATCAACTAGTTTTGTGGGCGTAGCATACGATTTATGTAAAAAAAATAATTTCCATGTTATCCATGTAAATATCACGGCTAACAATCATAGACTATCTTTACCTAATCAGTATAAACTTGTAAATAATATCACGAAATGGAGTGATATGAAACCAGCTTTATATCATGGTCATTTTGCATATTTAGATTTTACAAAGTATTTAGAAATGAATTGTCTGTTATAATCAATAATTTATTGATGTTTTTAGATTTAGCAAACATAAACCGATGTATATTAACATAATAAGAAAACCACTTGATAGATTAGTATCTTATTATTATTTCTTAAGATATGGAGATGATTTCCGACCACATTTAGTAAGAAGAAAACATGGTGATACAATGGTAATTTTTCAAAAATTGTCTTAAACAAACATTTTAATAATTTGACTTTTTAAGACTTTTGATGAATGTGTTAGTAAATCTCAACCAGATTGTGATCCAAATAACATGTGGCTTCAAATACCATTTTTTTGTGGGCACACTGCTAATTGCTTGTAAATTCTACCTTCATAATTGTTCAATTAATTCTTTTTAAATTAACACTACTATTTTAGAAAACCAGGAAATAAATGGGCACTACAAGAAGCTAAAAAAAACTTAATAAATAATTATTTACTAGTAGGAGTAACGGAAGATATTGAAAGCTTCATAAATATCCTAGAACTAACAATTCCTCGGTTATTTATTGGTGCTATGGACTATTTCAATCACAGCAATAAATCAAATTTGAGGAAAACGGCTCATAAAGAAGCACCAACTGAAGAAACTGTTAAAAAGATACAGAATTCAGTCGTTTGGCAAATGGAAAACGAATTATATGAGTTTGCTTTAGAACAATTTAATTTTGTTAAAAAACTTTCGCTTGGCGAAAAATCTCAAAGATTCTTTTTTGAAAAAATTCGACCTAAATCTTCTTAGATCACTTGATTAAATTATATATTATATAAAGTAGTTAATATTGTAAATAAAGAGTATTATTAAAATGATGTGGAAGATATTTTTTTTTTGTTTTTAGAATGTAGGAAAAGAACATTGTGGATATTGACATTGAAGATAAACATAAGACTTGGCTTGACTCCCAATTGTAAGGGCCATAGTATCCATGATGAATAAAATCGGTGAGAAACCTTTGTTAAAAATTGTCTACAGTCTTGACACTACAATGCATTTCTTGAGTGTCTGCTCCTAGGTATCGTTCTGATAAACTTGTTGATGCTAAATCATTATAGATTGGCCCTATAACTCCTTTAATGGCGGCTTGTAAAGATGAAAAGTACTAAGAGTACCACTGCTTCCACTTTCCCAGGGGGACAATAATTATGTTGTGATTTATCATTGATAGTGGGAGCATAACATATTGAAGTGTATGTGGGGTCGTCTGACCCCAGTATGCCTTATGCGTGATATTTTTTGTTAAGTATTATAGTTTGAAAAATTTTAAATAGTTTTAGCTTGGTAAGTTTTAAAATGTTAAGGTTTGCTAAGTCACACAGGTATACTTTTTCATTTTAATAACTTTATGGCAACTACAACTGTTAAGGAATTAGAGATCGAAATCAATAAAATTTTGATAGAAGAAGAGCAAGAAGACGCTTTTGTAAGGAAAAAGAATGTGAAAAAGATTTGGATTGCCTTGATGAACAAGAAGTTTCAGATACTGAGGAGACAAGAAATTACATGTTGCAATATCAACAAAAAATGGTTATAAGGAAAACTTCAAAGTTCAAGAGTGCAGAGGAAGACGTGCGAATAGAAATATAATATCGTTTATGCCATGATCAAAGGACCTCTGGACTAATCTCTGAAAGCTTGGTCTGTTTTATTTAATAAAAACATAACATTTTAAATAAAATTGTCACTCATACCAATCAAGGAATTGCACGAAACATTCGTTTATTAGCTACATTCTAAGCGTATTACCGCAGTTAGATATAGTAAAAATTCGAGGCTTGATTAAACTGTTTTTTCGTTATGGAGTAAATGGATTGGCATATGCAAGTTCCGAACTCATATGGTCAAAATAAGTTGGTATACCCTTATACAGAGCATCCATGTTTTCAAAAGTTTTCTCATCATCTTGTTTGCGTTTTGATAACAAAGATACCAGAGCAATGCAAAGAACAAGTGATAAATTTGCTCCTATTAGGGAAATCTGAGACACTGAAATCTGGGCCACTGCCATAAATTCTCCCACCTATCAGCTATGAAAACACCTTTCCAAGATTCTGTCTCCTTTTACTGGTAAAACAGAGTCATATGTCAGAGATTCCACACATTTCGTAGAATCAATTAGGGGTATGAAGCTAGACCCTCAGGATATGCTGGTAAGTTTCGACGTAAAATCTCTATTCACCAGAGTATCAGTCAAAGATGCCGTGGATGATCTTCACCAGAAACTCATTTGCCCAAGTATGTCCCAGGACTAGTGGAGTACTGCCTATCGTCGACATATTTCAGCTGAAAGAGGGAATTCTACGAGTTATGCGAAAGGGCAGCGATGGGATCACCTCTGTCTCCTGTGATAGCCAATTTTTACATGGAGATGTTTGAAGAGGAAGCGTTAAAGAAGAGTCCTTGGAAACGAAGCTATGGCTCCGTTACGTCGATGACACATTCGTGATCTGGCAACATGGAAAAGAGCAACTCCAGGAATTTCTAGACCACTTCAATTCACAGCACCCCATGATAAAATTTACCATGGAAACAGAAAATGCAAAACAGTTGCCATTCCTGGATGTGTTAGTCACTAGGAAGACAGACGGGGGCATGGAACTGGGAGTATATCGAAAGAAGACGCATACGAATAGGTACCTGTAGGCTTCATCCCACCACCACCCACAACAAAAGAGGTCCGTGATTCAAGCCTTATTCCAGCAAACAGAGAGGATATGCGATAAAGAGAACCTAAGAAAAGAACAAAGATTCCTAGAAGATGTGTTGCAGGAGAACGGCTCTACGATGAAAGATATCCGACGCGCCATTTGGATATAGAAAAAGTGGCCAAAACTACCATTTACAGATTTATGCAATATGCTCAAAACTGCTCTGACATGTCCTACCAATGGGCTACGGAAGGCACTATAAGCACTGATATTGTGGTTTAATGCCGTCAGATTTCACGTAATCACTACCAGTGATTAATGCTCAATACCAGATTGTACTAGCTGAACGGCAGTCCTGGTTCGAAACCGAAAATTCTTTGGTTCAGGCAGATATTTGCATGTTCACAAATGGATCAAAAACGTCGGAAGGGGTCGGGGCAGGAATATACTGCTAGTCACTTCGGATTAAGCAAGCTTACAGTCTGGGTATGTACTGTACTGTATTTCAGGCAGAAGAATTTGCTATTGATATGGTTGCTAAAATCCTTCTTGAGAGAGGGAGAAAAACATGACAGTACGATTTTTCTCAACCAGTCAAGTTGTTCTTCAGGCCGTGAAAACGGTGTCGGCTCTGGTTAATGATTGTAAAAGACCTTTAAACACAATGAGTTGTGGTAAGAAAGTTTCTCTGATCTGGATCCCAGGTCACTCTGAGGTTGCTGGCAATGAAGCGGAAGATGAGCTATTACAAGAGGGCAGCACTAAAGCGTTTGTGTTATTAATAACAATAATAATACTTTATTGACGATAACACCATTTACATGATTTTCGCAAGTCAGACACATGTATAATTATGTGTGTGAGTTATGGCCAGAACGAACCGTTTTATATTGGATGTTATTTTTAATGTAGAGAAGGCAGTGGAAGATGTTAAGGCATGGAATTGTTCACAGTCCAAATTTGCCATCCCTCTGACGCATCTTCTCTGGGCTTCAAAAACTCGATTGGTATGGGCAGAATGACCCCTAGCTAATAAGGCGTAGGTGGCATGACTAAAGAAATAACCATAATATGTGCCCAACAGTACATGGAAAGGGACCAAGTGATGTAGTCTGCGAATTGCAAAAATGGCGGTAGTCAGTTTTTTTATTAAATGTGAAACATGTGATTCCCATGTAAGGCCCGAGTCAAGGTTAATTCCCAGATACTTAACAGGCGCCGTGCAAGTATCTAGACGTCTAAGAAAAAAATTTAAGGTTTGCGTTTTGGATTCGTTCACGCTGAGTCTATTTTTTTGAAACTCGTTAATGATGATCGCGCGTGAATCCATCGTACGACGATGCAATGTATCGACAACATCCTTGCAAACCGTGGCTACTATATCATCAGCAAAGAGAATCATACTTGAATCCCTCGGAATGATTTTGGGCAGGTTATTGACGAAAATTAAAAATAGAACTTGACCCAGAACTGAGTCCTGGGGACACCATGTATGACTGGTAAACGGCTAGAATTTTGCCCACAATAGGAGACATATTGAAGTCTATTAGTCAAGTACGACTCTATAAGCTGGACACTATCCGCCTTTATATGAAATGTGCTTAATTTGTTAATAAGTAAAACATGAGACACGCAGTCAAACGCCTTTGTTAGATCATAAAATGCGGCTTGTAAATAATTGTTGGCCTCAAAACAATCTTGAATAATCCGAGCTAATGCTTGAACAGCACTCGTCGTTGATTTTTTCCTTCTGATGCCAAACTGCCTCGAATTTAACATATTGTTTGATATTATTTGCGATGGCCAAATATAGGATTGTACTGTGGGCTGAAAAGAGATTTCGCCTACTGTGGACCAGTTCTCCTGGAATGAGACACGCTAAGTTGTTTATTAACATCATCACTGTTAAATCCGGGAATATTTTAGGACTTGCTCGTAGCAGCGTTAAAGTCCTATGGTCCTAATGGGTGTCTTTAAAGATACACCTCAAATTGTTAGGTCTAGCCTACGATGTTGAATGCCGAGTATGTACGGAGGACGAGGAAACGATTGAGCATGTTTTATGTTGAGCCCTGCTGTTAATTGTATTAGATTCTCGATTTTTTTGTCGGAGTTTATCTCTCCAAAGGATCTGAATGACTTTACACCGAGAAAGGTATTAATGTTCGTTAAGAGCATACTAGATCTACCCGATATATAATTTATGTAGTGTAATGTTGAAAACTTTCGAATTTGTATGGATGTATAATAATTTCAAAAATGTATGTTTTGTGTAAGTTTGGTTGCATAACAATTTTAATTTATTTTTGTTATTTATAAAAATCTTGGACTTTGTAGTAATTGTACATTTCCAGGATATTTACAATTATTTAAATTAAAAAGCTCATTTAAAATAAACTGATTGCGTGTCAATGTTTTTCGGTCAAAGTACAAAAGTTCACTTAAAAAAAGGCATACGTTGACAGTAAATTTGAAATGATCTAAATCTTGTTGTTTTTTATGTAAACTTAACGCATTCAGTAGTAAATTAACAATCGTTTACGTAATATTTTTCAAAAGATATAAAACGGTAGATAAACGAACGCATCAAAAATACATAAATAGATAAAGTACACTGCCAGTGATGCACACACGTACACACAAAAAGTATAGGAAATGTAGATAACAAATTATTTATTTATAAATAGAAGTTTAAATAGTGAGAAAACTGATAAAAAGATCCTAAAACCAAACAGTTCGTTTTAACCGAAATTTGGAACAATATTACAAGTACATTTAACCATAGGAAAAATTAATACCAAATGAGGTTAGGTCCGATAGTGAAATAGTCGAAAACATGGAAATTTGTCCCCTTTTACAAGAACCAGAGGAATACTTACCAGACACCATCGATCTACGCAACAATCCAAAAGAAAGGGATTATTGGTTACCTTGTTTGGAGAGAATGGTTAGAAAATTTGTTGACAAAGCTAGCATTTTAAATCCTCACAAACCACAAGCTAAAGAAGAAGCTGAACATTGCTTTAGGATATTTCAGGAAATGATTAAAAGACTAAACAATAATCCAGAGTAAGTTGGTTATTTATTGGATTTATTAAAGTGAGTTTTCATATTTTCTTATGCCAAATTGCTTTGTATGAGCTGTGCCAAAAATATAATTATAATAAATATTCTCCACAATTTTAATACCTATATTAATTTTAATAAAAAGATTTTCATTAAAATTATAATTTTTTATATACTAAATTTGACATTTAATTTTTTTGTAGGTTATGTTTAACTTCAAATAATTTTTTAAAAGTGTTTTGGGTGTTCTATTTAAAAATTGTTTATTTATATTTATTGTTGTAGATAAAGAGACACTTTAGATTACCTTAGATATACAAATTATATTTATTTTTTTTATAATGACACAGCACATTTTTTTTTATTTTTTTTTAACTGTAGAATAATGAATCCATTAAGTATTCGAACATTATTAGAATTTAATGAAAAAACTTTAAGAAGCAATAATTTTACGGACGCTTGGTTGGTACAAAAGCAAAAAGAAACGAAAACTGCATTCAGGGAATTCTCCTCGAGGTTAAAATACATTGATAATATAGATACATTTGGAGTAAGATGGTTGGAATTGGTAAAAGGTTTACTCGCAGGAAATATGTTCGATTGGGGCGCAAAAGCGGTTACAGATTTATTAGAAACAACTGGAAGTTTTGGGTTAGGTGACGCAATGAATACAATTCAAAAACGTCCTTGGTTTATAGATGATTTGGATGAGTGGATTGAGACATTACAGGTAATCTAAAAAATTAAATTGAAATAACATTAATTTTTATTGATTTATTTTTAGAAAAAGTCATACAAAAAAGTGGTGATATTTGTAGATAACGCTGGAGTAGATTTTGTATTAGGTGTAATTCCTTTAGCGAGGGAGTTTATTAAACGTGATACCGATGTGATATTGTCAGCTAACACATTTCCTGCTCTTAACGATATCACCATCAAGGAATTAAACTGTTGTCTACAAGAAGCTAGTCTTCATTGTCCTGTTATTAAAAATGCAGTTGACAGCAAAAAATTACAGGGTATTGAAAACGGACAAGGCGGACCTTGTTTAGATCTTAGTAAACTAAATTCAGGTTTGAAATGACTAAAACAAAGTTATGGTGGAATAAAAAGAATCGTCATTTTAGGTCTATGTGATAAAATGAAAAATGTTGATCTGGTTATGTTAGAGGGAATGGGTCGGGCTGTGCACACAAACCTAAAAGCGAAATTTAACATTGACAGTGTTAAATTAGCCGTTTTAAAGAACGAATGGCTCGCCCAAAGCTTGGGGGCCCAACAATTTTCCATTATTTTTGAATTCAAGCCGGCACCTACGTTTTAATGTACCTGAACTGTTAAACTGAGTGTTTGCTTTAAATTATTTCGATATGTGCATATATAATTTTAATGTTCTATTTTGCAATAATATATTATAATTTAATTTAAACTCTTATTCATTCATTAACTTAACACAAAACTGTATATGCAGACTTCATCAAAAGCTATCCTGTCTCCAATAGAAGTTCCATTTTCATATATGAAATCCTGTTGCATATGAATATTGTATCCTTGTAAATAATATAGCCCCTAAGTAATATGTTCATAAAGGTCAATTTCTACTTAAACTTACTTGTTCCAATTTCTAACTTAACTTTCATTTAAGTTATTGGAACCTAGCATTTTTCATTTTTGAGTTATTTTGGTTTTAAGGTTTTTTTTGGCAAATTTCACCAAGCATTTTAAAACCACATATTTCAGCCAACGTTCATTTAAAAAAGCTCTAAATTGGCACGGTTATTTTTCAGATATTGTCAAATAGATTGTTGTTGTGTTCAAGTATCTTACACAGGGATGGTCAAAAATTGTATTACTGTTTCTCCATATTCAATGGTAAGAAAGTCGAAAATTTTAAATGGCACGCCTCATATTTTTTTAGCCTACCAGAAAGAGAATTTAATCCTCTACAAATTATCTATAAACATTCATATACCTATTTATTGTAGTTTTCCTCATATTGGTAAATTTATCAACATCATACATAGAACTCCAGAAACCATTTGTGTTTTTGTTACAATTTATTTTCACAATTACCTACGATTGATAATCTTTTAGTTTACTAGCTTTCATTTGCCAAAAATACAACAAACAGAAGAAAATTCAAAATTGTAGGAATAGTAGACCCTAAAAAAGTTCTAACTAGTGATGGAACGGATAGTGATTTTGCGAAAAGCCGGATATTCGGCATTCGGCCGGATATCCGGTTATCCGGCATATCTATCCGGCCATTATCGTTATAATTTCTGGTGCATTTCTGAAGTGATACCCTATATTGCCACATTATTGCGATATTTGAATAAAAATGAAATTAATAAGAAAGCTGATAAGATATGTCAACTTATTTGGATCCAAGATACAACTCTAAGAAGCAACTCTAAAAAGAGGATACTTTAATAATTGGCGGTATTTCCACAAGGATCCTTCAAGAAATTAATTTTATAGCAAATTTTGAAAGTCATCGATGAAAATTGCAGTATCGAAAATTTTATCAAAACTTCAAATATTGTTTTCTCAAAAACGAAAAGTTGTTTTTTAAAATGGGTTGGTTCATTGGAAAGAGGACACTTTTATTAACACTTTCGGATATTTTCATACTCATATTCCAAGAACTTGATTTTATACGAATTTTTAAAACTTGATCGGCGAAAATTGTAAAATTCGAAAAAATTGTCAATCATTTCAAAAATTTATTTCTCAAGAACTGAAAGTGATTTTTCAAAACGGCTTTTTGCATTAAAAAGAGGATACTTTAATTAATAATTGGTGATATTTCCACAAGGATCCTTCAAGAAATTAATTTTATAGCGAATTTTGAAAGTTATCGATGAAAATTGCAATATCGAAAATTTTATCAAAACTTCAGGTATTGTTTTCTCAAAAACGAAAAGTTATTTTTCAAAATGGGTTGGTTCATTGGAAAGAGGACATTTTTATTAACATTTTGGGAAATTTTCATACTCATATTCCAAGAGCTGGTTTTTATACGAAGTTTTAAAACTTAATCGTCGAAAATTGCAAAATTCGAAAAAATTGTCGATTACTTCAAAAATTTATTTCTCAAGAACTGAAAGTGATTTTTCAAAACGGCTTTTTGCATTAAAAAGAGGATACTTTAATCAATAATTGAAAGTGATAACAGCAAGAGTTTTGTTAGTAATGAATGTGATGATAAATTACAAGCGAAGAGAAGAAAACTAGACGAAACTGCAACAAGAGATTTTATATATCGTATTGGGATTGTTACAATGAGGTTGCTAATGATAAATAAAGTTATATTAAATGAAAAAAGTCCTATTGGGGTTGAACTTGATTATTATCTGCAGTGTCCAACACCTAAAAGAAATACTAATTCCTGTGAATGGTGGAGTACTAAGTAATAGGTTTTTAATATCCGACCAAAACCGAATGCCGGATAGTTGCCGGATATCCGTTCCACCACTAGTTTTCACAAGCCAGTTACGTGAGACACCTGTATAAATATAAAATATATTTTCATATATCTTTTATTTTATTTAGAATGGATAATAAAAAGGAAGAACGTTTCAGGTTCAGAATTAAATAGTTCTAGTGATTCATTTGCAAATGATGATAGTGTGCCAGATCCTGATTTTCAATGTACTTCCTGTACTTCCAACCTATACCAGATTTTGCATTTGATTCATCTTCTTCAGGAGTGAAGAAGTTGAAGATAGGTTCTACAGTGTTGGAAGTATTTTCAAGCATATGAAATCAATCTATTATGGATTTGCTTATGGAGAAGACAATAGGGCCGTTAAGGTCAATCGATTAGAAAGATTAGTAACGTTTTCACGTTCGAAAATTGTTTAATTTTTGCAATAATTAATGTAAAAGTTTAAAATTCCCTACTTCCGACTCCAGATGACGTTTTAAGTAAGAAGAAAGAAATCAGACGTTACGCTCGCTCCCGTTTTCTTCTAGCGCATAAGATTCGTAGCATTATCTCTCTCCAAGAATTTTATTGATTTTTATGTAAATAGATCACATTCGTAGCATTCTCGAATGAGAGTTTTCAAACCAACAAATAATAAGGAGTTATTAAAATTCTTTGGTTTATCACTGCTTCAAGCTCAAATACATTTTCCTACTATCAGAAAAGGTTTCTCCAATGATCCATTATGTTACCACCCCATATTTTCAAACTCTATGTCGGGAAGGCGATGGGAACAAATCAGACAATAAAAATGAAAGTCGCCTTTAAAATAGTTATTACTGAAAAAAATTCAAAAAAATTTTCAAGAACATTATCAACCAGATGATGCTTTGTCATTAGATGAAAGTTTATTGTTGCATCGCGGAAGACTGTCAATTCAAGCAATATATAAAATGCAAAAAAGCAAAATATGGAATAAAGTTCGATGAATTATGTTTGCCAAATGGTTATGTGCTGCACATGGAAATTTACCAAGGAAACAAATAGAAAATCCCATTAACACAAAATTAGAATCTTTAGTTTTCAGACTCATGGAACCTGACATATGCAAATAAAGGACGCCTTATAGTTATGGACAATTTCTACAACAGTGTAAGTCTTTGCAAAAAATGTCTTGCAAAAAAAATACATGTTGTACAGAAAAAAAGTTGTTTCTACAAAATTGAAAAAGGAGAACATATTTGGCTAAGAAGAGGAAATGTACATATATGTTTCAAAGTGGAAAGATAAGCGCGATGTGTTGTGCATCACCACGAAATATCATCCTACAATAAATGAAACTAATGCTCGCAATAAAGTAAAAAGAAAACCTATTGAAGTCTCTGAATATAATAAATACATGTCAGGTGTGATCAACTAACGTCGTATTATTCCTGCCCAAGAAAAATTGTATGAAAATTGTATTCCATTTACTGGATTTGGCAATAATGAGTAATGAACAGTCATATTTTGTACTGTTGCATTAATAAAAGCAAGAGGAGTTTATTAGTTGTGAAGAATTAATTAAAGAATTACTTGAAATTCCAGAAAATATAACATCAGCAATGTTTAATGCTAAAATATGTAGGAAAAGGACTAAATGTATCAAGGACACATTACTTAGAAGAAATACCAATACCTGAAGATTACAAAAGAAAGGAATATTATCTGTAATGCAAGCAGTGCTCCATAAATAAAAAAGATCTAATACTGCTTGGAGATGCAAAACATGTTCATCAAATTCTGCATTATGTCCTAGAAAATATTTTAAAGAGTTTCATAAAAATTTATATATAAACTATTTTTATTATTTTGTGTTATTTTTGTTACTCGGTTTTTTCATCTCTAGTTTGTACTTTTGAAATAAAATTTCCAAATCAAACATTAAATTTCATTAAAAAAAATGGTGCATTTTTGGGTGGCGTTAATTAACCCTATTTAAAAAATTAGGTTATGTTAACTTTCATTTTGACAACCAACAACAAAAATATAACACAATCAAAATGAACTGATTATATTATACTATTATTTTCTTTATTTACTCAATACGACTTTATAATTAAAAAAAATCGTTTAGCAACAATAAATCTTTATATTAATTATTATTTTTTAAAATACAAAGTTTGTATAAATAAATTCAAGAATGTATTTATTTTTATAAACATTTAATTTAACCGGACGTTTTAAATTGAGTATATGAAACAGCGCCATCTATCGTGATTTTCATGTTTTCTCATCTAAAAGTTTATTGATAAAAGGTTAACCTTGTGTTTATTGAGTGGTTTCATTTAGAAACCCCCAAAAAACATCTAGATAAACACTATGTAAGGATTACGGAGATCACTTAAAGTAAATTAACCGTTATGGAGTTTGCGGATCTAATTGCAACACCTAAATTGGATGGGGTTATTTTACACAGTCCGTTTCATGACCCCGTAGATGGTACTTTATGTGTTTCGGGTCATCATTTGATACTTTCTTCAAGAAAAGAGGATGTACAAGAATTATGGGTGAGATCTTTATTTATTAATAACATAATATACTGATTGTTTTTAATTAAATTTTAGCTGTTACATCAAAGTATTGATTTAGTTGAGAAAAAACCAAATGGTACTAATTCAAATTATCAAAATGGAGGAACGATAATTTTAAAATGCAAAGATCTCAGAATACTCCAATTAGATATCGCAGGAACTGAAGAATTTTTAAACGTTTACGCTTCAATCGAAAGATTATCCAACTTAGAAGACACCAGCTCATTATATCCATTCTTTTACCGTCCTATGTACAATATTTTAGAGGATGGTTATACATTATTTAAACCAGAAATAGAATTTGCAAAACTTTTGGCTAGTGATGAGTGGAGAATATCTCATGTTAATAAAAACTTTTCAGTTTGTCCAACTTACAGCTCTACATTAATTGTACCAAAATCAATTGAAGATGATATGATTATCGCGTCATCTAATTTCAGGGAAGGTGGAAGATTTCCTGTATTGAGTTATCGACACGAAAATGGGGCTGTTCTTTTAAGAAGTAGTCAACCATTATTGAGCAACAGCAACAGAAGGTGCAGATCTGATGAAAAAATTTTAAATACAATCTTAGGAACTGGAAAAAAAGGCTATATCATTGATACAAGATCAACTAGCTATGTTAATCAATGCAAATCGAAAGGAGGTGGAACTGAACCAGATGGACATTACCCCCAATGGAGGAGGAGTCATAAAAATTTAGATAAAATAGCTAATTGTAACGGATCTTTATTAGATTCTTTGTCTAAATTAATTGATGCATGTAATGATACAAATTCTTCTTCTGATAAATGGCTCTCTCGAGTAGAAAGTAGTAATTGGTTAACTCATCTTATGAATTCATTAAATATTGCTTGTTTAATCGCTCAATGTTTAGATCAAGAAGGTGCATCCGTCCTAGTTCATGGTACTTTAGGTATGGATTCAACACTTTTAGTTACATCAGTAGCTCAAGTAATTTTAAATCCGGATTGTCGAACGGTTCGTGGATTACAAGCTCTTGTTGAAAGAGATTGGCTCCAAGCCGGGTATCCCTTTCAAACTAGACACGCAAAATTTTGTTACTCAACAGCAAGAAATAAAAGTCAACAACCAACGTTTTTATTATTTTTAGATTGTATTCAACAATTACATTATCAATTCCCGTGTAGTTTTGAATTTACAACTCAAATGCTCATTTTGTTATTTGAACATTCCTATTTTAGTCAATTTGGTACATTCCTGGGTAATTGTGAATCGGATCGTGAAAAATTAAACGTCGCTCGAAAAACAACTAGTTTATGGTCGTATTTAAATCGTCCCGATGTTTTAACTTCGCTTTTAAATCCTTTGTATGAACCGAACAAAATGGCTATTTGGCCAAGTGTAGCCCCGGTTAGTTTAGTTTTATGGAACGAATTGTATTTGAGATGGACAATCGATCAGGTTCAACAAAAAAAAGCGATGGCAAAAATAAGCACTTTAATACAAAATGATAAAAATGCCAGAAGTAAAGTGATCAAATTGAGAAAACAAGTTTTAGATTTACAAAAAGAATACGACACTATTGTTAATATTGAAGAAGCTATTGAAGACGAAACGGGTAGTGGCTAAAATGTGCTTTAAAAATCTCTTTCAGAAAATGATTCTCTAGTCATGAAATTATTTTTTATTTCTTTTTGTATGGTTTTGATTTGATAATAAAAAGGCAAGAGAACAAAGATATTTTTGTTGGGTTTAAGAGAAATTTATAAAGGGGTGTTTAAAAACGAATTGAAGAAAATTGATATGACATATTTATAATAACTTAATAAAAAAGGCACGGTACTTCTATTTTGTAATAGATTTACGCAAAAATTGAATTAAAACAAAGTATTTTCTAGATTTAAACTATGCTTTAAAATTAATTGTAAGCAACAATTTATGGCTCTAATAAAATGAATCAAAATATATACTTTTATTTTTTCCCAAGGCATCCTAAGAATAAAATCATTCCTTGGTGAAATAGGAAAGTGAAGAACTCACTACTAACCCATTTAGGACCGAGCCGAATTTAATAGCAGTATCTCAAGGACCAACACCAACGATGTTCGTGCAATTCTTTTCCTGTGGTACTCACTGAATCCAAACAAATGTTATTAAAACAGAAGCATGCCGCACTTTAATAATAGCCACAAATGCTTTTTAACGTTGCCCTAGAAAAGGTAGTACGAGATGCAGGGTTCTGAACATCTGGAACAACATTGAACAAGTCAACGCAGAGCTTGGTGAACACCTTGGAAACGAAGACGGAGAAGATGGGCATACCAGAACATTTGGAAGTTGAGGATGAAAAGATAGAGACGATGAGCAGTTTCGTATACTTGGGATCTCTGAGGAATAATAAAAAATCGGTCAGCGAGGAAATAAAGAAGAGGATAATCCAAGTCAACAAATGCTTCTATGGCCTTAAAAACAACTACACATCTAAGCTACCAAGAAAAATCAAATTATTCCCATACAAGACTATATAAGAATATATGGCGCTTATAATGACAACGGTGTCTGGCGTTGTGGTTACAACTTCGAGTTGTGTTAAGTTTATGTGTTAACATGAGTTGTGTTAACTAAGAAATTATTTATGGCACATTTAATCAACTTTAAATTTGCTTTAAAATGGTGATTATTTCATCATGATATCTCATTTGGTTCTTGAGATACGATTTTTTTTATTTCTATTAAAATTAGTTGGGTTTAAAAGATCATCACAACGATGTTTATGGAAACTAAAAAATTATTTATGACACATTTAATTTTCGTTAAATTCGCTTTAATATGTTTGTTATTTCATCATGATATCTCAATTAGTTCTTGAGATACGATTTTATTAATTTCCATTCAAATTAATAACTATGAAAAGTACAGAGTTGGGGTTAAAGAATCATCACAACCATGTTTATGGAAACTAAGAAATTGTTTATAGCATATTTAATCCTCATTAAATTTGCTTTAAAATGCTTCTTATTTCATTACGATATCTCATTTAGTTCTTGAAATACGATTTTTTTAAATTCTAGTAAAATTAATAATGACGAACAGTGCACAGTTGAGGTTAAAAGATCATCACAACGATGTTTATGAAAACTAAGAATTTATTTATGATACATTTAATCCTCATTAAATTTGCTTTAAAATGCTTCTTATTTCATTATGATATCTCAATTAGTTCTTGAGATACGATTTTTTTAATTTCTAGTAAAATTAATAATGACGAAAAGTGCAGAGTTGAAGTTAAAAAATCATACCAACCAAGATTATGGAAACTAAGAAATTATTTATGGCACATTTAGTTCTCATCAAATTTGCTTTAAAATGCTGGTTATTTCATGGTCATATCTCAATTCGTTCTAGAGATACGATTTTTTAAATTTTTATTAAAATTAATGATGAAAAGTACAAAGTTAGGTTTAAAAGATCATCACAACGATGTTTATGGAAACTAAGAAATTATTTATGGCACATTTAATCAACTTTAAATTTGCTTTAAAATGGTGATTATTTCATCATGATATATCAATTAGTTCTTGAAATACGATTTTTTTAATTTCCATTAAAATCAATAAGGACCAAAAGTGCAGTTTTGGGGTTAAAAAATCATTCCAACCAAGTTTATGGAAAGTAAGAAACCATTCATAGCACATTTAATCCTCATTAAATTTGCTTTAAAATGTTGGTTATCTCATCATGTTGTCTCAATTAGTTCTTGAGATACGATTTTTTTAATTTCCATTAAAATCAATAACGACGAAAAGTACAGAGTTGGCTTTAAAAAATCATCACAACGATGTTTATAGAAACTAAGAAACTATTTATCGCACATTTAATCCTCATTAAATTTACTTTAAAATGTTGGTTATTTCATCGTCATATCTCAATTCGTTCTTGAAGTACGATTAAATTATATGTTTCAAGTCTACAATAATAAAACGTGCAGAGATGATTCTAAAAAATTATAACAACGAAGTTTATGGGAAATAAGAAATTATTTGTAGCACATTCAACCTTCATTAAATTTGCTTTAAAATGCTTCTTATTTCATTGTTAGATCTCAATTCATTCTTGAGATACGATTTTAAAAAATTATATGTTGCAAACATGCAGAGTTTAGGTTAAAAAATCATATCAACGAAATTTATGGGAAATAAGAAATTTTTTATGGTGCATTAAATCTTCTTTAAATTTGCTTTAAATTGCTTCTTATTTCATCGTTATATCTTAATTCGTTCTTGAGATACTATTTAATATGTTTTTTCGCTTATTTTGAATTGGTCGCTTATTACCAAAGTGATACCAGATTCAAGACAGGTAATAATTAAGGAGATTGTTTACATGTTGTTGGAAATCATTACTGAAGATTGGTTGGTACCCAAACCTGCACCAATTAGCCCTATCAAGTGTTTAAATGGCTTTAATTCTTTGTCATCGGAATCTCTTAGTAACCATAGCTGAGATAAGATTGACTCAATGCTTAACCCAGATCTTTCTGTGCTTTTTGTAAGGTTGATTTGTTTTGTGATGACGATTTGAGTGACTTTAAGTAATTTTCCTTATCTAAAGTTATAGTAACGCTCCAAACATTGTTTGGATTTGGCAAAAAAGCTATTCGTTTATATAGAGTGGCTCTATATTGTTAATCGATAATTTAATTCCGTTAGATAATATACAAGATAATATAGAGATAGTTAAATTTATCACAGTCCAAAGGTTTAGATGGATTGGCTATGTAGCTAGAAAACTACCACAAGATCTACTTCTCCTTAATTGTCGTGAACCTGTAGGTAGATGATCAGTTGAGAGGTCGAAGAGACGATTTGTGGACGATGTGCAGCAGGATCTAAGCAGGGTGAAAGTCAGGAGGTGGAGACGACATGGTCAGGATGGACAAGTTTGTAAAAATCTATTAAGGCAAGCCAAGGTCAAAAGAAACTGCACAGCCAAACATGCTAATGTAGATAAGTCTTGTTTTAAAAACTGGTTTTTTCATAATTTTAAAATGACGCCTAGGCAGAAATATACATGGTGTCATAAGATTTAAATGGTCACTAAGGTTGTGTTTATCTTCTTGCACAGTATAGTATTCATTCTCCAAGAGGAAATTCTTGACAGTGATTGGAAACTGTTTTACTTCCATTCTTCTTATTTCCCATGGCAGTGCGTTATATAATTTGACGGCTATATAATCGTATGTGTTTTGTGATTTAACCACTCGGTGATATGGAGTCACAATATTTTCTCTGTATCGGGTGTTGTGTTTGTGATTGTTTGCGTTTTTCAGCATGAAATCTTTATTATTGTGAGTATACTCCAGACAGGAGCGTATAAAACAGCACGGCAAGGTAAGTATTTTTATTTTTTTAAATTGGGTTTTGCAACTCTCTTGATTTTTTAGTCCAGCCAGAATAGCTCCGAATAGCCTTTTTTCCATAACGAAAATGGCTTCCATCTCTCTAGATGCACCCCACGTAATGAAATACGGAATATGGAAATACGCGAAGCATACGCTTCGCAATATCTCGGGTGGACAGTCGCCCTTTCATGTTTGATTGTTTGGACCATTTAAGAGTTTCTGAAATAGTAACACCAAGGAATTTTATGGATCGTCTTGTGTGAAAGGTAAGTGTGTATGTTTTTTCTTTATTCATCTTTAATTTATTTATCTAGAAGCAATGCTCAGCTTTTTCTATATTTTGTTTTGTTTTTTCTTCCAGCTCCTTGATGTCGCCACTTCTCGTAATAAAAGATGTGTCATCTGTATAAAGACAAATTCTACTGGAACACTACCTGGTAAGTCATTGATGTATATAAGGAAAAGTAATGGACCTAAGATCGAACCCTGAGGCACTCCACTTCTCACTTCTCTCCAGGTGGATTGTTTGCCCCTCCAAAAGACCGATTATTTTCTAGTCTCCAGATATGATACAAAAAACCCCAGTGCAGCGTTCTTTATTCCATATTTTTCTAATTTGGCTGTCAGTATCGAATGGTCCACTAAATCGAAGGCTTTAATTAAGTCACAAAAGACGATTTGGATGAACTGTTCTTGATTGAAACCATGGATTACCGCTCCCAGTACACTTAATAGAGCAGTTATAACAGATTTTTGTTTTTGATAATCATGTTGACAATTTGTAAACAATTTGTGATTGTTGAAGTAGTAAACCAATTTTTCGTTTACCACAATTTCGAATATTTTTGATAAGGTAGGCAATATAGATATTGGTCTGTAATTACTACATACACTTTTATCTCCCTTCTTATGTACTGGTGTTCTTTGCCGACTTTAGCTGCTTTGGAAAAACTCTTTCTAGTAAATTCCTTGGTATTTTTTGCCTTTAGGCCTTTTATCATAAATTATCATATTCCCAATCTGTCCACTTCATCCAGAGATACCATACTTGAAGTTGGCAAATCTATCAAGCTGATAGGATCTATGTAATTGACTGTAGAGTGTCCTGGTGTAGTCTCAACCTGAGAGAAGAAAAGGTTTAAATCTTCAACATTCAACTCTGGGTACTCAACTGATGTTTTTCTGGACTTTCCCGTTTCTTGTTTGATTAATTTCCAAGCTCCTTTCTACCACACTTAATTATATATTAAAATTTTTAATTGAATTCTAAAGTTCAATAAATTCTTCTTAGATTAGAGAGACATTCTTAGATTATTCATGACACCGTCGATGGGGATTAACGTCTTTAAGGAGGTAGAGTAGTGTTTATAAAATTTGACTACTTAATAAAAAAGTGATTAATATAAGGATTTTATTATTGTACCAAACTTCACTGCCCATCATATACTGCATTGTGACGCATTATCTATCAAAAACGTCAATAGAGCGGGTTGCTGCTTCATCACTTAACTTATCTAAAATAAAATAACCAATTAAAAAGAAAATAAGATTAATATTTCTTACGTT